TTATGCATCTCGCGAACTACTTTATTAAGTACATAACGAACTATTCTTGGTTACAGCTCACATTATTATTGAAAAATCATATATATATATATATATATATATATATATATATATATATATGTATACTGAAAACCATTGAGGATTGGATAGGTATTTTGACCTAATTTTGGACCCTTCATCAGTAGGTCTTTGACCTCACCAGTGGCATCAGTTGATGGTTTCACTATACATCACAAAATGACAGAAGTAAGAATTGTTTCTACGAGTTTGACCACGGACTGATATCAGTTAGAGAATCAGTGAAGACCAACAACGGGTACTGGACAGTCATTTCATCCTACTTGAAGAATTATCGGCAGTACGCACCGACTGGAATTTGAACCCAGCACCTTCTGTTAACAATGCAATCTCGTATACCGCTCAGCCACTGCGACCCGATTCAATGGCCCATGAATCCTAACTTCTACCAATTCGTGATTTAGCGCGACCCCAACCAATGTCGTCGGTAGGACATCCATCCTCACGCGTGACATCTGGATGGACCTCACTGATCAAGAATTCTGATTAGAACTCCAGGAAACTCCATCCTGTAGCAAGACACTAGTGAGCATCAGATTTATTTTCTATAGTTGGTTTGTAAGGATTAGATTTATTAGGATTTTCAGGCAACTGGATTCCACCTCAATGGTTGAACAGTTGATAACCCCACCTTGCAGTCCAAAACTCTTGAGTTCTATCTCTATTGGTGGGGTCATGTGAACATATGGCTTAAGAACCCCATACAAGAGTGAAACAGTTGTCCTGCGCCCTCCAGTTTTCATTAGTTCTGTAAATGAAATTAGTTGCTGATAAATTTTGAAATCAACCGAATCCCGGAAAATCAATACTTGAAAATAAGAGTAGTTTTCATAATTTTTACTGTCGTTATCTTTGTAACTTAGTTGCCTTCTTCTGCTTGTTTGCTGTCGTAATAAAAACACGTTACGAGAATGTCAAAATTAGGGGATATATACCTATCCTCACGTTTTTGGATCCGTATGTGTGCTTATGTGTGTGTGTGTGTGTGTGAGGTTATGGGTGCGTGTATTACAGAAACTATGGAAATTTACTTAATACATATTTATATGCCATCTAACTGTCATAAAACAAGATTCAGCATTTATGATTATTAGGGGTGGATCCAGTGTTGGCTTAACAATTGACTTTTGCACAAAAAATTATTTAAAAGGCGAAATTCTGTTCCTCCGTTTTTTTAATTTTCTAAGATCATTAATCTTTTACGAGTTGATCACGGATCGATATCAGTTAGAAAACCATTGAAAGCCAGGGAGTGCTGGACAGCTGCTGTTTCATCCTAGTTTGAGAATCATCGGTAGTACGCACCCACTGGGTTCCCAGTGGTTGTCTAACTGATATCAATCCGTGATCAACTCGTAAAACATAACTAATCCTTACAAACCAAACTATAGAAAGATAATTAATCTTAATTTAAACTACGAATAATGAGGGAAAAACGAAATTTAAATTAATATCTATCTGTGTTATAGTAATTGAGTTGACTAATTACTGATAGAATAGCAAATATAACAATTAATTAGGCTGCAGTGAATAAGACACGGTGTTTTTTATATCGAATTATCTTGATAAACAGGTCAAACACCTAGTGGAGGAATGGACCAATCAAAATTTTGCACCGTGTTAGTTTTGACCAATAGTTAGATGGATAGATAGCTAGACACACGGATAGATGGAAAACGCCTGTGATATTCAATCAGAATTATACAATATTGAATATTAATTTAACATCGTTATTCCCTTTGTTTCTGAGTGGAAGGTAGAGCTTCTCCAGCACATCGATACTTCATCCTGTTCTATCTATGAAATCATTCTAACCTGACTTCATGACCATAGGCTCTCATCTCCTCCTTACACGATCTCCTCCATTTCACCCATGTACTCCAGCCCTGCTCGCTATTTCCAATCCACCTGTCTCTTGAGGGTCATCATATTGCGTGATATCACCCCTGTGTGTAAGATCCTTATCCTTATTCTTTGGCCTATTTGTTCGGCAATAGGTTCTTGGTTGGCTGATTGAGTGCCAGAGTCCCATGTTGCTTATCATTTCTGGCTGGGGATCTATTCTTCAGTATGAAGCCAGCGAAGATGGCTGCTGTTGAAGGTTATCTATAGTGGTCTGTTGAAAATGTTTTCAGTGATACGAGCGCCAAGTCATTGAACCTCATTATTATAATTATTATTGTATCCTTTGATTCCTAGAGGAACATAGGGCTTCAACCAAGCGTCTCCACTGCGTTCGATCCTCTGCCAACTTTTTCACCCCGCTCCAAGTCTGCCCACACGCTTTCATCTCCTCTTCACATGACCTCCTCCAAGTCACCCTTACATTGACGACCATCTCGCCGCTTCCCTTTCGGGTTCCACTCGAGCTATGGCTTGTCTAGTGATGTCACTAACTTGATGGTTTCCTCAGCCTATGGCCAATCCAGCTCCATTTCTTCCTGCCTATATGTTTCACAATCGATTCCTGGTTGGTTGGTTCGCCCGTTGCCAGAGATCCCTGTTGCTGATCTTTTCTGATCTTGAGTATTGAGCGAAGACAACTGTTAATGAAGGTCTGTAGTTTGTTTGAGATGCTCTTTATGACGCTCTGGCCAAGTCTCTGATCCGTATAGTAGCACTGACTGACTTCACATTGGAGTTGAAAATCCGGATCTTATACTCGTTTTGATGGTGAGTGCTGTTGACCTACACACGGATTTGAAAGTAATGAAAGCTTGTCTTGCTTTTCCGATTCTGGCTTTGATATCCTCGTCAGTTCCACCTGCAGTTGAAACGATGCTTCCCTGACAGGTAGGTGAAGGAGGTTGTTTCTTTCAGGTTCCTCCCATTTATGTTGGCTTATTGTGGTCTGTTGTTGTTGTTGCTGTCGGTGTTGGCCAGGAATCTTCATCACCACATCTGTTTTCTATATGTTCACCTGAAGTTTCATCTTCGGGTGCTTCTCCTGCCAACTTGTTGCTTTTCACTTGCATATCTTCCAGTTTGTGGGAAATCAGACATATATCACCGGCGAAGTCCAGATCCTCCAAGTCTTTTGTGTCAGTCCATTTTATGCCCGTTTCCTCATCGCCCGTTGTCTGTCTCATTATCCAATCAACTGCAATCAGGAAGATCATTGGTGATAGTAGACGGCCTTGCCTCACTCCCGTCCTCACTTCGAAGGCTTCCGTAAGTTTCCCGTTGTGGATTACTTGGCATGCAGCATTGTCGTATAACTGTTGGATGAGATGTATAATTGTCGATGAGACCCCATAGTAGCGAAGTAGTTGCCAAATCACCTCTCGATCGACGCTGTCGAAGGCCTTCCCAAAGTCGATGATGTTGAGATAGAGAGGTGACTGTCATTCTAAGCTTTGTTCAATGATGATTCGTAAAGTGGCGATTTGATCAATACATGACTTGTTCCTCCTGAATCCAGCTTGTTCCGCTCGAAGTTTTGGCGAAGTTAAACTTTCGACACCACTAACTACCAATCAGCGAATTATCCAATGAGATTCACGAACGATGTCGAATTATCCAATGAAGTTCACGAACGCAGTCCAATGTTGTATAGCGCTTGATTCATTTCTAATGCGTGACCTTACAAAGCTATTGTTGCAATTCGAGGAGGTTAGCATTTTCCAGTATTTCCTGGATTTGAGTTGCTCCGGAAAGAGCGAATTTGTTTGTGTGGTGGTATCATTATTTTAAAAAGCTATACCAAATCAACTGATGGGTTTGTTCATCGTTGTGCTATATGTTTGAAGCCTACTAACGCTAGAGAGAGTAAGCTGATAATTTTAATATTTCGTAGGAACTTTTTTCGCTAGGTCGCTTCTCTCCCTAAGGATAGCAGATAGAAAAGCAACTACTCTTATACCTATTGTTACCAGAATTGTTAAGCGGGGGTCAATTATACACACCGACGAGTGGAAAGGCTACAATTCACTGTCATCTCTGGGATGTATTCATCACAGAGTCAACCATTCAAGTGATTTTGTGGATCCCGTTACGAGGACACATACAAATTCTATTGAAGGATTTTGGGGCAGGTTGAAAAATAGGATAAGGGCTATAAATGGATCTCATTTATGGTCATTTGGATGAATATATGTACAGGATATGGTGTAACTTCTCCATTGACAGTCCCATGCTAAACTGGGAGATGTTTCTCTGACATGTTCGAGAAAGATATCCCATGTAACTTTTTTATTCTCTATTTTATGCTTTTTTCTACAAATATACATTTCGATTCATCACATATGCCTCTTTAATGTGATTGGTCCATTCAAGGTCGTTTGCTGATTGGTTGTTAGTGGTGTCGAAAGTTTAACTTTGCCGAAGTTTTTCATCCAGGTTGGCTTGTTTGATTCTCTTGAGGATGATGTGGCGTAGTATTTTGCTTGGGATGGGCACGAGCATAATTCCGCGCCAGTTTTTGCATTGACATAAGTCTCCTTTCTTTGGCAGTTTGAATAAGTATCCTTTCTTCCAGTCCTCGGGTACTTTGCCCTCTTTCCACACCTTCTCCAGCAGTGGCGTCATCAAGTCCGCTGTTGTCTCTGGGTTCATTTTCAAAGCTTCTGCTGGGATTCCATCTGGTCCTGGTGCTTTCCCAGCTTTTAGCATCTTGATTGCATTCATCACTTCTGATTTCATCGGGGGGTCGATGTTCACTGGTTGATGTGCTTCCGTTGTTGGTATTGTTGGGCGCGTTGCAGGTGGCGGACGATTTAGAAGTCTTTTGAAGTGTTCAGCCCAGTTTTTTCTTTTCTTCACCTCTTTGGTGATTGACTTTCCATTGTCGTCCTTTACAGGTTTAATCTGTGCCGAACTTTTGCCTGATAGGTGCCTAGTTGTTTGATAGAGTGTGACGAGGTCTCCTTTGCCTGCAGCTTGTTCTGCTTCACTTGCCATGGTTTCATAATATTTTCTTTTGTCTTCCCTGGCACTCTTCTTTACTCTTTTGTTCAGTGTATTGTAGCTTGCATTCAGCTCCTGTTTTTGTTGCTCGTCAGTGCACTGGATAATCTTTTGTTTCACTGTCCTTCTCTCTTCTATTAGTTTCCAAGTGTCCGTAGTGAGCCACTGTTTGTCCTGTCTCTTCTTTCTGCCTAGAACTTCCATGCAGGTTTGACTCCACACCGTTTTCAAGTTGTTCCAGTGCTTTTCGACGCCGACCTCTTCGCTAGTGTTGATTTGTGTCTCAGCTTTGTCCCTTATGCTTGCAATGAAGATGTCATTTGTATCTCGGTCCTTCAGTTTTTGTGTGTTGAACTTGGCTTGTGATCTATCTGCAGCTCCTGTTTCCATGAAAGCTTTTAATTTGATTTGGATTGTCCCTTGTACGAGATAGTGGTCTGAGCCAACGTCTGCTCCTCTTCTTGCTTTTGTGTCCAGTAGGCTGCGCCTCCACTTCCTTGAGCAGCATTGAGATGAAGTCAATTTGGTTTTTGGTTTGCCCGTCTGGTGACACCCATGTAGCCTTGTGGATATCTTTGTGCTTGTATACACTGCCACCAATCACTAGTTCGTTGAAGGCGCAGAAGTCGGCGAAGAGTTCTCCATTTTCATTCATTTCTCCAAGAGCTTCTCTACCCATGATGAGTTCCCTTCCTGTGTTGTCTGGTCCCAGTTTGGCGTTCATGTCTCCCATTAGTATTTTAATGTCGCCAGCTGGAGTATTGTCCATTGTTGCCTGTAGTTGCCTGTAGAATTCTTCTTTCTTTTCGAGGTCTGCGTTGTTTGTGGGTGCATAACATTGTATGATTGACACTTTCCTTCCTTTGGAGTTGAATCTGGCGGTCATTATCCTGGACGAAATCGCCTCCCATTGCATCAGGGCTTTCGTTGCCGTTGGTGACATCATGATAGCCACGCCCTCGGTGTGCGTGTGGTTATCTTCTGGGTGACCGGAGTAGATCACTGACTCACCCGTTGACAATTTGGTGAGTCCACTCCCATTCCATCTGCTTTCACATATTCCCAGCACTTGGATTCCGTATCTTTTCATCTCGTTTGCGATCTGGGCAGCTTTGCTGGTCTCGTACATAGTGCGGACGTTCCATGTTCCCACACCAGACTTTTTCTTTTGGTGCAAAGAGGTTCATCGTGCTGAAGTTTCTGTAGCAACTTTGTTTACAGGGTGGGGTTGCTAGCCTCACGCCTGAGAAAGGAATTGTCATACTAAGATAAAGTTTAGAGAGAAGCGACCTTTTGGGTTGCCCCCCTTAAATTCGGAAAACAAGGGATGAAACAATAAGAACAACACCAGCAAAAGGAAAATAATTCACAGCAAAAGGGCAAAAAGCGACAACAATACAATACAACAGCATGCAATACAGTTAAGCACAGTTAACTAAAATGATACCAAAAATATAGACTAACTGACTTGAGCCAACTTGAACATATAAATCCAACAATATATACAATTATAGATGTGTTAGTGTTAAAAAGTCACAGAAGGTCAAACTCTTTGTCATAGGAATTAGTAGTCAATTATATTACATCCACAAGTTTAGTGTTCGAAAGTAAACGGATTACAGTAAATTCAGAACTTCGTGGTGAGATACAACAAAGAAATGAGAGTTTTACGTATCTAAGCAAAATGTGACGCACTAATCTAACCTCATGGAAGCATTGATTTGACGTTAGTGTTGAAAGTCAAAACCTTGTTTCTTCTACTGAATGCATCATATTTCAACACTGATTTCAGAGTAATGACAGTCTGTCTTGCGTTTTCGAGCTTGGTTGGACTTAACACCCTCATCTGTATTCCCGCCTATAGTTAAAACTGTGCTGCTTAGATGAATAAAGGAAGTGACTTATTTAAGATTTCTCCCACTGATATGGTTGGTGCTTATTCTTGTTAGTTGATTATCTTCGTCTTATTTATGTTCACTCGAAGTTTTGTCTGTGCTGTTTGTTCTGCCCGCCTGGTGGTTTTCTACGGTACATTTTCAGATTTAATTGATGATGGGCATAGATCATCTGCGAAGTTTGGATCTTCTATAGTCTTATTATCAGTCCAACTTATTCCTGTCTTCTCGTTTCCTGCAGGCTGTTGCATGATCCAGTCCACCGCAATCCGGAATATCATAGGTTATAACAGACAACTTTGCCCTACTCCTGTCAAAAATTTGATGGCTTCGGTGTTTTTCGTTGATCTATATGTGGCATAGTCATATAGCTGTTGAATCAGGTGTTGTATATACATTCTCAGTTTTATTTAACATGTACGGTTTCAGCTTTTCTCTTTGAAATCTCACTGAACACCTCAATAATATCATTTGGATTCGACAATCAATTAGTCGCTGTTGTAGAACGTTGCTGGCAAAGAGTGGATATTTTTGTGCCATCATAGCTGTAAAATTTAGTTTCCTTTTTCTAACAAGCTATCGAAGTTAAAAGTTAGAAACCGTTAAATATCTACCTAATTATCTACCTTAATGCAGTTGGATACACCAATCTCGACCTTCAGCATGCATTGATGCTTCTAAGATATTCAGTGTACTCAGTGTTCCGAAATCAATTAACTAATAATTAGATTATATAGATGAGATGTTAGGATTGATACCATAATTTGCATTACTGAGGCCTCAGCAATGCGGATAGGAAACCCTGAATTAAGTGAACAGAAGAAAGTTCTACAATCCCTCCTTCTACCTTGAGTATAATTACAAGTTCCACTAACTTGTTAATAATGCCTTTTTGAGTTATTTTGAATTTTTGTATTACTCCTGAGTAATAATTTTTTCCTAACCAACCCATTATTTACTCTTCCTGCCTATTACATAATCTATTTTGGAGACTTGTCTACATGGTCTTTCATTAACATACCATTTTTGGGGATGTCTTTCACATTTTATCTTTATCGTCTTGTGTTTAGTTAATCTGTGCACTAATCACCTGTGCAGTTTCCGGTATCGCATCTCCATTATTAGTTTGCAATGTAAACCTCTCTATTCTCAAACGTCTAACCCTGTCATGTAATGTCAAACTTTCCAAATGATCCTAGGAATTTTATTAATTTTACACTCCCTTCCACAATCGATTATTCCGTGAACTATTTTATGTATCAGTCAACATATGATATGATTTGATATTGAAAGATGCTCATAACTGTAAAACTAAGTCAGAAATTAAATACCTAGGTGTCATTCTATCTGCTGATCTTTCCTGGTCGTCTCATATCTTGATGATTTCTAATAAAATATTCCGTCTTATCTTCTACATCAAGACGTTAAGACATTTTGGTATAACCCAACCCTTACCCCTACAATTCGTTAACTCTTGCATTCTCTATCGTTCTCCCTTAGTTTTTCCAGGGATACTGAAGCAAGACTAAACCTTGTTACGTAGGATGTTAAAGTTTGTCAGCAGGGTAAGCCACAGGGTGCCACTTAACCAGCTTATTAATATTCTGGTTGACAGGCACTTGGACTCATGTGAAAAATGGGAAAAATCCATTTTAACTAACTCACAACACCCTCTATATTCACAACTCTCCCCTTGTATCTCATCAGGCAGAACCAGAAGCCTATATAGAAAACTATATGCTCTCACTAGTAAGTACAAAAACTCAACCATAACCTGCTTAGCTTGTGTTCTGTGTGATAAAGAATGCATTAGGCGTGATACCTATAACTTACTAAGTAGCCAGTAGAACAACTGGATTTCGTCTTTACAACTCATATCATTTATAGGTACAAAGTTTTCTTTCTCTCTTTTCCTTTTCTCTTTTTTTCTGTTATGTGCAGCTTTGTTTCTTTCTTCCTTACAAACCCTATTTAAAACATTCTTCTTCTTTCTTTCACACTCTGTATATCTCGACCTTTTTGGTACCGCTTACGCCAGTAAATATTCTAGCATCTACTTTTCTAACACCTTCAAACACTCCGTTCAATTTTGGCTTTGCTACTGACATACCAATATGTTCTCTTAATGAACTGAGATTTCCTTAATCTATGTAGAATTTTATTTATTGATAATGTACTAAGTAGACGCAATAGTGTAGTAAAAACTACTGAGAATTCCATTCTGTATCACAAGTACTGTTTTGGAATAAAGGATTATTATTATTTAATTCAATTTTAGATTTTCCCGTCGACTGATTGGACTGAAGTGCTCAGTCTCGGTTCAAGCCTCGGTGGGAACATCATCAGTCACTGTGGAATGCAGTTATATCCAGCTGGCGAGTTCAAAATAGGAAGATTCTACTGCTAGTCACCACCCAACAATTAATTATTATAATTATTATGTTTCGTTTTTTACGTTCCGAGCGGAATATAGGACTTGTTGTCTTAAGCTTTCAAGTTCCACTAGTGGTGATGTTATTTTTACGAGATAAGAGTTTTAGCATCATACGTTCGGTGATTATTATTATTATTGATCCTTTGAGTTCCTAGTGGAACATAGGGGTTCAGTTGCACGTCTCCACTTGATTCTGTCTTCTGCTGTACTTTTAATCTGCATCCATGTTAGTCCACACTGTTTCAACTCCTCTTCACACGATCTCCTCCATGTCATTCTTGGACGTCCCACTCGCCGCATCCCTTCCGGGTTCCACTCGAGGGCTTGATGTGCGATGTCGGTGGCATAGTAGTTGTGAATCTCGCCAACCATGCACAAGCTCCAGGGCTCGATCCCCTGCCGACACACATCCGATATCAATGGTCGGCCTGCAAAATTTGGGCTACCGATATGACATGCTGAAAATGCCATACTTGCACCGAAAATACGGTGTGGCATCAAGCTGTAGTCAAAATATATACCAAATATATATATGTGTATCTACCAGTTTGACTGCAGCTGCGGAGCCAGCTACATTGGGCGTACAATTAGGCAAGTTCATCGTTGTATTTCCGAACATCATCCAACGTGGTTAAGCAAGGGACAAAAAAGATCTATTCGTAGTTATACTTTAGCCCACCTCGTTGATACTGAGCATAAGATTGATTTGAATACTGCATTTAAAATTATTTATCGCATTCCAACTTATCTTAATTTTGCTTTGCGAGTTCGTCTTCTACAGACGGCTGAGGCGATTGGCATTCATCTGAAGAAGCCAAGGCTATGTGTACAGAAAAAATTTGTACATCCACTTTCCCTACCGTGGCCATCGTCACAAGAATGGATAAACAGGACTGCGTCACCCCCCTCCCCTAAACCTATAAAATTATATTTGTCTAAATTATTTATTTTATTTTATTTATTTTGACCACTTTATCTTTAATTTACGTGTTATTCTCGTAAAATTAATTTATTCTTTCCATTTCCACCTTTTAAATCTGTATTGATTTTCTTCGTTAACTATTAACCCATTGGAAAATAGATATAGGCAGTTTTTTATTGGCTGTTGGCTAGCTGGCTTTTTATTGGTCTAAAATATAAATTAAAGCGCCAATCTCTTTATTTTTACACGGAAATTTACAGTCAGTAAAATTTCGGGCTTACCTTACCATAATATAATGGCGTGTTAATTTTTTTGGTGTGAGTGTAGTGTGATAGTCACACGCTATTTGGATGCATTGTTGATGTTTAAAGTATATTGAGATGTATGAGAATGTCCAGAAAGTGAATATAAATCAACAATAATTTTGATGCATT